CGCCCTGATTCCCGCCCCTAGCTTAGGCACTAAAGGACTAAAAACAGCGGCCAACAAGCTAGCCCTAAGCTCTGCTCCAGCCAAACTCCAGTAATTCCAATTACATCTACACGACTCTCCTGTTTGGCCCTTCCTAAACCACCTGATGTTGGGTAAAACACAAGAAAGTTGTCAGTTTATCTACGTCCCGGATATTATGTGCTGGACCCCTATCTATCTGGCTCCCCGGGCCACATTGACCCTCCCTGGGAGTCACCCTTGAGATTGCCACGGGCAGCACCCAGGCAGGAGAAAGTTCCCCTGTCGTAAACACTCATTACCTGTAGTCGTTTTCGCCTCTCACCCACTCCTTCCCGCCCTTGCAAAGGCTGGGAGCCCTGCTAATCAGGTTAGTTGCAACTCTCCGCCACACTCATTTCACACTAGATGCCACTGAATTCCAACTCACCATGAAGTCACACAAAAACACAAGAGAATAATGTCCCGTACAAAGTTACAACGCGCACCTCTTAGAGGTGTGCTTGTAGCAAGATTTTTCTTAACCCGACAGAACCTTGCAAGCTCCACTTGCCCCTTCCCAGTCTGCAAAGGGCTACAGTGTGAGAGTTAATTTTGGACTCAGGATTTTGTCAGAATGTGTGACAAAATCATTTCAGCTCACAGGTGCAAAGCTAGTAAGTGGGCTTTTGAGTCGAGATTATTTCATCACATAAGAGTTTTCATCATTGGACTTGGCTTAGATTTACAGATGTGTTGGTTTTACACAATACAATGAAACTGTTTACTTTTAGAAAAAGATTATCACTAACAACAGTGACGTCTTTGACTCCAAGTCTTCAATGCAGCGCTCGAGTGTGACTCCACACTGCGTTCACCTCTTCGGCCTCTGGAGCTGTTTTCCCCCGTTCCTCCCTTTTGTTCTCCTCTGCCTCCTGTTTTTCTAACTTAATATACCTGAGCAGCAGGAATTCTGTTATTATCACATTGACATTGTGATTCCTCATCCTGGCATCAACATTATGTTATGTGTTAACATCTAAAGTGGATTTTCTTACCGTTGTGACGTGAAACCTAAAACCAACTAGTATCTTTTTATTCTTGTTACTTTTTTTTTTACTCAAAATGCTGTTTTTATTACCTACATTTTCTTTGTGCCTGGTATTTACTTATTAAGATAAATCTTGGGGTGATAATGCTTTTACTTGTCTAATGTTTTATATATCCAGAGAATATCTGACCGATATTACAACATATAGAGGAACATATTAAGTCAAATAAATATATCTCCTCAAAATAAGGGCTACTTGCTTGAATTCATTACACAAATCCCACAATGCTTTTACGGTTTTCAGTATTTCCCTGGATTATTATATTGATGAGAGCTTTTGTCTTTATACATGACTTATTTGTGAAAGTAATTTGTATACGGTAATAAATGTTTTTGGGGAGATAAGGCTTGTTTATTGTCATTATGTATGCATGTGAGTGACATAACACAACGAAAAGCAAAATCTTTGAAATGTTATAAGTGGCAGTACCACAAATAAATTCCCTAAGTTTTGATTGATTCGTGGGCAGATACAATTCATATGTTCATGTTGCCTGAGTATGTTGATTTAGTAAATAATACAGTTTAGGCCCGTATTTCACTGCTGTATTAACTGTGATGTTAGAGAACTACCATTTGGTTAATTTGAGTATTAATTGTATAGTGTAGCTCCTTTGTTAAGTCGTTCAACCCACAGTAGTTTATTGATACTTTCTGTTCAATCTACAGTTATAAATTCAGTCCAATAATAAGTCCAGTAGTGGCTGTTCCAATCAAAGGTGCCTTGACTTGTATCTTGTGTGCATGAAATAGCATTTTGGGCGTTAAATGTAGTAAAATGTGTCCTCCATATAATTTTTTTTCTCTCTACGGCCACTCCACTACATTTCAGAGGGAAATACTGTACTTTTTTTATCCACTACATTAATTAATTAACAGCTATAGTGACTCAATACTCAGATTAGGAGTTTACATGAACAAATGTGGTCAAATCTAAATAAAACACAGTGCATTGTTAAGGGTTAAAAATGAACAGTGTTTAGTTGGGACTCCTTGTCATGTTTCAGATGTCTATGAATTGTTAGCAGAGACATTTCCCCTCTAAACTTCTCACATGGTTTCATTTAAATAACTTTTGAAGGCCCAAAGAGGGAAACATTTTCCAATATTTCACAGAAAGCAAAGATTAAAAAAAAATAGAAATGTGTGTAGCAGATC